CAATTATGGTTTGTTTATTTCTCTTTTTATTTGAATGGTTCAGGCATGAAAACGTTTTTTATTCTTGCCTTAGTTTATTTTTTCTCTCAGCAATTGTTTGTATTCCTTCAAGGGCTCTACTAGACTGGAGAGAGAGCAGTGAATAAAATAGAAAAGAATCCTCATGGAATTTACATCCTAGCTGGTCATAGAAATATGTGTGTGTGTGTGTGTGTGTGTGTGTGTGTATTTGAGCATTTACTATGTGGCATATTATTATGAGTACCCGTCATGAATTAATTTATTTAATTCTAAATCTACTCGTCACCTCTGAGCTCTCATCTTACTCGACTTGTCAGAAGCTTTGGATAGAGCTCCTCTCTCCCTGGGCCTACTTATTTCAAGTGGTTTCTTTACCCCATGTTCTCCTCATTTTCCTCCTACTTCGCTGGTGGCTTTTGTTCAGTCTCCTCTGTCGGTTCCTCCTTATCTTTCCAATGATCTCCTGTGGCTCACCGTTTGTTACCTTTCTCATTTATATCTGCACACCCTTGGTGATTTACTCCAGCCTCAGGGCTTTAAATACCATCAGGTTGAGGGACGGCACTCAGATTTAGATCTCCACCCCAAACCTCTTAATCGAACTCCAGATTCTTGTCCAACTGCCTATTCAAAATCTCCATTTGAATGTCCAATGGACTAGCCAAAATGCGCCCAAATAAATTCCTTGTATCAATCCATGTTCTCTTCCATCTTAGTGCATAGAGACNTAGAGTCTATTTTCAGCAAAACAAGAGACCAACAATTTATTCTTATTTTCAAACTGAAGTAAAATATACATAGGAGAGTATATGAAATACTCTAATAGAAATTGAGATAACGCATACATAGAAAGTGCATAAAATACCTTAATCTTAAGTACGCAACTGATTGATATTTTATATGCATATGCCTGTGTATACACCTGCTGAGATCAAAACAGAGGACATTTCCAGCTCACCGGTTTCCCCTGTTCTCTTTCTAAGTTTTACATCTCCAAAGTTCACTACCATTATAATTTCTGTTTTCATTGTCTAGCTTTGCTGATCTTGAATTTCATATAAATCGGGCATCACGTAGCATGTACTCTTTTGTCTAACTTATTTCACTCATCTTTATGAGACCTTCTCTGGCAGTCAGTTGATTAATCTGTAAAAAGGAGTTTTGGTCAAGATTGGGAACTGAAATTTAAAAAAAAAGTGATGTCCAGCTGCAACCCACAGAATTTCTGATTTGTGTGTTCTGGGGTTGGACACAGGGAATTAGTATGTTTTTTAAAAAATGCCAATGAGAATCTAACACGTAGCCTCTGGAATTGATGATCTCTAGTTTGCTGTTGTTGCTGTTGTTCCCTCATTTCTTCCATAAGTGCAAGGACTGATTCACCATCTTGCCTTCTTTTTTCCATTTTCCCTCAACTATGCACTGAGTATGCATCAAATACCAAATACCATGCTACACTGCTGAAACTACGCAAGTCGGCAAAACACAGTTCTTATCTCTCAGAGGCTTAAAATCTCAACAAACCCACATCTTCATAAGAGTAAAAATATAGCTGAATATATAAACATACCTATGAAAACTCATCAAAAAATCTCTATAAGTCCACAAACCAAATAGGGGGAATGAAGAAAGAGAGATTAAGAAAAGATTGACTTGGTCCAATAACCTAATAATTTTGAAATAGTAGTTAAAATTGGTCAAATAACTGGTTTCTTATCATATGTTGAATTTCAACTTGGTTTCATCTCTTTACTAATTTGTATGTCTAGACAAATTAATGGGGACTGAAAAGCTGTAATTTTTTTTTTCAGATATTAGAAACAGGGACACGTATTTTTTAAGGGCATCCTAAGAATTAGCTGTGATTACATAATCAGTATTTTGAACATAGTTTTCTGTGTTAGTCAACTTATTTTGTGAAAATCTTGCCGAGACCTTGCTTCTGAGGACAATTTTCCACTTTTTTATTAGCCATTTAATATAGTCACCTACCAAAAAGGCAATGTAGACATGGCAATGCTCTGCTCGTCTTTGGGGCAATGTTTTTTTCAAATTGTGGATTACCATCCATTAATGGAATCTGCAATCCATCTAGTAGGTTTTAACCAACATTTAAGTAGATTAAACAGAAGACAATACAATGTAGTAAAAAGCATCACAGTGACCTGAATTTAGTAAGGGTAATTATTGTTCCATTAAGCATTTGTTTCCATTATAGTTATGTATATGTATATTGGGTTGTGCTATTTAATGTATTTCTTGCTAAGAGTCCTAGCCAAAATTTTAGAAAATACTTTATTAAGGTACATAGTTATTTTAATTAAAATTTGACCCAAATTATTAGGTATTAAATTGTGATTTGAATTTTGATAGTTTGATATATGGTTCAAATAATATTGAGGAAAAATAGAACTGATTTCAATTACTTGAATCAATTTGATAAAAATCATTTCTTCTGTTTGCAGGTTACGAAAATTTTAGAGGTTTGGTCCAAAGAACAATTGTGATTTAATATGAGAAAAAATAATTAAAACAGTGTTTATAGTAGATATAATTAACTGGGGAATGTAGAAGGGTGATCTATTTGAAATAAAAACAGGGATGATGAGAAAATAATCTCTAGATTTTATTGAAATAAAAATAATAATTAACCAAAGTATTTTATTATATAGTTAAAAAATCCACTCATTTTAAAGTATGCCACCTGGCAAGGAAACTGATCATATAAATGTCATTTAACAAGATTTTTCAAAGCCATTTATTTTTACGGAGTTTTTTTTTTTTTTTCTGTGTGAAAAGTGTAGCATAGTATGTACGAACATGATTGAATTTATAGAAGGACTGGAACTCAGCAGGAAAATGATATATTTTCTTATGTTTACTATGCTGCTGCACTACTAGAAAATTAAGTTTGACCAATAAACAAATATTGTTAAATAAATGAGTTTTAATAAATTAGCCTTTAATAATCATATTGGAAACTCTATATTCAAGTACTTACTCTGTTTCTACTGCTTAGCTACTGTAGTAATAATGGGTAACTGAGTTAACTGGCTTAAATTGTTGGTGCCCATAATGAATGATTGTAAGAGAATATTACAAAAGGTTGAATACTCCTAATAAATAGATTCAAAAAGAATAAAGAGTATTTTTAATATTTTTTTTCATCTATTAGGGCCCTTTTAATTTTTTTCTTTTTTAATTGTGGTGCACTTTATTTTATATGCTAGTTAAATGTTAGACCAAAAAAGCTATCTTAAAAATTAATTACAGACTACTTACTAACCTTTTCTGGATATTCCAGTGAACTAGCCTGTTCAGTTATAATATAAATAACTAAAATTAGGGAATATTGTCCTGTTAACATTTTGCAGTATGTTACATGTGCATGGGTCACAGATCTTACTTTCTATAAAAACCATATAATTGCTATGGAATTAATAACATCAGGACTGTTACTACAAATACTTAAATATAAAAATATCCAATCCCCTTTCTTAATACTAATTATTTCAGTAATTATTTGGCATTTTGCTTTTCTTCATTTTTAATGGACCTGAAAAAAATTAATTTCAAAGAACGCTTTGGCTGGATACAGTAGAACACCCAATTTGCCTCATTTCTTCTTTTCTTTCCTCTTTCTGTCCTTCCTTATATAATCTTGTTTTCTAGTAGCAAAGTGAAATGTAAAGAAAGGAAAGAATTTGATGTGTATTTCAGCACCTAGCCTCATTGGATATTCAGATGCTGATGAGCAGAACAAGATTCATTAGCATGTTCAGCTCTATTCTTTTTTCAGTAGAATAAATTCAGTAAAACTTACTTTGCAGTAGATAGATATAAAAATCATTTTTTCTCAAAGCAAATGTGTATATTTTGGCTGTCTGTAGTTATTTTTAAGCAAAGAACATCTTATTGGATATTATTACTTAAATTTAATTTTTGCACAAAATTACATTTAAAAAGGAATGTAAATAGTGTGTCCATTTTTAAAGGGCAGATTCTTGAATTGATTTTTTCTTTTTATTTTCTTTAAAAGACATTTCGAACTTAGTACGAATCTAAGCTAGAGAGGACATTGGCAGAACCTTGTGTGTCCTCGTACATCATTTTGATGAGAATTTAAGAAGACAGAAAATAATACCTTGCCAAATTATTAACTTTAAATCTCTTGTTTACTTTAGAATATCAAGATTTATAAAATACCAGAAAACCCAGGGACTGACACAAAGAATTGTAACTTTCTAGCTTTCTACACTAATATAAAAGTCTTAGCTCTACAATTGCTGTATAACGTTATGACCTTTTAACTAACATAAAGCAGTCATTTGCTTATTTTATTTAATTTTATTTTATTGCTTCTCACTCTAAATGGTTACAAGCTGTACTTAAATCAACTATTTAAAGGCCATGGGCATCACTTTTTTAAATTGCAAAGGCAGTAACTATATTTAATCAGAGGATTACTCAACTGTAGAAATAAAATTTTTAAAATAAAGATTTGGTATGGTTTAGGATGAAAATATGCTTCATTTCTTTCATATTGTATTAATCCTTTCTCTGTCTTATCTTTTGGTATACTTAACATAGATTACTGGTTGAATCTCAGTTACCCACATTCTAACATTCTAAGACTCACGCATGCAACAGTCTCATCCTCTATGGATGCTTTTATTGAGACTTATTTGAAAAGCACAAAATCCGGTTTTATGTTAAGTAGGTGGGTTGCTAATCTTCAAGAATGTCATTCTTGTTCAAGCCTTTATGAATTGTTTGTGAGTACCACATTGGACAATGAAAGCTTTATACTCATTCTGCAATTAGCCAAAATAATTCTAGTTAAACTCTGGCAAAGATCTCTACTATGAAATGAATGTAAAGTATTCATTCTTTATCTTTCTTTCTGGTTTCATTCTAGCTCATGTATTTATTTAAAAATAATGCTCTAAGTTGCTTTTTCACTGCTTTTCATGTTGCAGATTGAAAATGTTGATGTCTGCCTTAGTTTTCTAGCAGCCAGAGGAGTAAATGTTCAAGGTTTATCTGCTGAAGGTAAGAAAAAGCGGGGTCGTCACAAATGGCATTGATGTTTCTTTAAATATTTTTTGTAATGTAAAAAATGTAATGTTGGAGTAGATGGCTCCTTAATACATTAAAGGAAATTGGCAAAGTTTCCAAAATCATGGAAACATAAACATAATTGTGATTAATGTATGCCTTATTTAAATATTTTCCATACGTTGCCAGAACTCTTCTTTTCATGACCGAGTATATGGGAGGAGAGTGAATGAATGAAACTTCTTGATGTTATGACTAGTTTATGGTATTTTTAAGTTCTTAAGTAGATGTATGGGTGATTAGATAAATGCCGGATAACAGATGAACATAAATACAGGTAAGATAGTATAATTAATGCTCAAATATTATTTTATCAATAACATTTCTATAATATAATCATGTTGATGGTGATACTCAAAAATTTTAGTGGGTTTGAATGTCACTATGAGTTCTTAGATAATTAGCACTAATGGTATTAATAACTGTTATATGTAAAGGTTTTAAATCATCAATAGTTTGAAAGATCATCACTAAAATTGAAATGTAGCCAAGTGGGAAAAGATTGAACTAGTTTTGTCATCTTTTTTGTCTGAGCCTCTTTTCCTTCCACATATAAAAGGTGGCAAAAGTTTGCAAAAACTTGCCATATGTAACACAAATTTTGTCATGCCAAAGTAAATAATGTTTCAGTTTCTTTTATCTTTATATGCTATGAAGTGTCAGCCCCAGCACAGGTATATGCTATGATGTGTAATTAAATTACACGTTTAATGTCTTAAAAGCTTAGGTTCAAACCTAACTGGTGGTTCTGTTACTTCAATTGAAATGTGAATAAAATGCCCCAGGATAATAGTTTGCTTTCTAAGTGGAAAAAGGCAGGCTGGAAATGCTACCATTTGTTCATTTTATGTCTCTTCCTTCTCACATGACAATCTTTATTAAAATAAGCTTGCTGATTTTCGTTCATCTTTTAAAAATATACGAATGTTCAAAAGTGATAAATTAATTAAACGTGATCATAAAAACAAGAAAAATTTAAAAACTATTTAAACAAGATCATTCATGTTTATAGGAGAAAATTAATACTTTGTCCTGGTTGTCTCAGATTGATCAAGCCAACTCTTCTATATTACAGAAAGTGTAAGGAAGGTCTGGAGGTTAAAAAGAACAACCCCGAGGTTAATTTTATGTGAATAGTTTCACTGTAGTTTGGATGACACTATAAATCTCAAGAGAGCAAGAAATCCTATCGTTTGTTAATGTTCCTAAACTCTATAAGGGGACATAAAACCTTGACCACAGAGAAGGATGTATTTTATTGCCAACAGCAAGTTTTATTTAAAATATGATTATATGTTCTGTAGTTTTATTTTAAATTTTGCCTCCTTCTCTTTTCCTAATTTTTAAGTTATAAGTACAGGAGAAAAAACTAGACTCATGGTGTAGCTGATGCTGTGAATTTAATTTTTTAATTTAACATTAGAAAAACTTATAGAGGAGCCCCACCTGTTAGAACCAGGATTCCCACTTATATTTATTCAATTATGTTATCTAATGTCATGTAAGCTGATCTTTATTATTTATTAATATATCACATGCATTAAAATAATTATAACATTAAAAATTAATATACTATAGTCTTTTTGGAAAATATATGTATCTTTGGATATAAATATATATTTGGAAGTTACATATGTGTATGTATGTGTGTATATATATAATATATATAAATAAATTGGTTAGTGGGTGTTTTAGAAGGAATGTTGACTGCTATAAATGCAATTGGTATTATGACACGCACCCACATGCTCAGTATTTATAAATGCAGAACAACAAACATTTAAGTGGCTTACTTTCTCCAGTTCATAGCCAGTGCTGTGGTGGGAATAGCTGTGTATATTTGTGAGGGCAGAGGAGTGTGAAATCATATGATGAGCAAAAGAGAGAAAGCTCATCCATTTCCAAGAAGAAGCTAACTCTAGAAAAACTGTAGTTCCGGGGCAGCAAAGTACATTTCTTTTGAGTAAGCTTTGGTCTCTCTTCCCTCCTTCCCTTAATTTTCTCCCTGAAATTCCAAGCTATTTGAAAATGTTAGCACATTTTAGAAATTCAGATTTGTTTAAATCCATTATAGAATCAAGTTGTATTTTTTTTATTAAATTTATTTTAAGAGGATTGCACTGAGAGTTTCGTTTGTTTAAAAAAAACATTCAATTTATATAATACTGTTTTTATATTTTCCATTTGATACAGAAATAAGAAATGGAAACTTAAAAGCCATTCTAGGGCTGTTTTTCAGTTTGTCTCGCTACAAGCAGCAACAACACCATCAACAACAGTACTACCAGTCCTTGGTAGAACTTCAGCAGCGAGTCACTCACGCTTCCCCCCAATTGGAAGCCAGTCAGGCCAAAACTCAGCAAGATATGCAGTCCAGGTAAGGAAAGGAAGCAGGGAACGTGTTTAAAATTAGTTTGTCTGTATACAACTTGTTTTTAATAACTTATTGTTTATGAGTTTGAAAAAGTACTTATGTAGTTGTATGAGTGCCATCGGATTATTTGACTAGTGTCATAGAAGATAAAACCACTTTTCTTTTGCTTGGACAAGCAACATCTATCATCTTTTAGGTAAATATTTTTGTTTGTTTTCTAATGACGATTGTTGTTCTGTATCAAAGTGTGTGAAATGTCTTTGGTGGAAGTAATGTGATATGGCTACTTCCTTCTACAGATTACTTTAGTATTTAGAATGTGCTCTTGAGTTCTACTCTCTCATTGTGTAGTTATCTTTCATCGATGTTTTTGATTGATTAAATCTGTCAAAAATTTCAGGTATGTTAAACATAGGAGTTTGAGTGTTTGAAAACATATTGTTTCTGATATGAGATTGTGTATGTGTGTATGTTTATATGCAAATGCGTGTATGTGTTTGTCTAGCTTGAGTCTATTGGCACACGTGGACACAGCCTGGGGTAGGGTGCTCCCAAATCATAGCAGCTTCCTTCTCTCTTCAATTACTGCTTTTTTCCAATTTGGAATTTTATCAGTCAATGTTCAACCAGAGAAACAAAATCAATAAGAGATACATACTAAGAGATTTAATGTGAAGAATTGGCTTATATGATTTAGGGGCCAGATAGGAAAGTATGAGATCCGAAGGGCAGCCCATCAGGAATGGCAAGGAATAGCAATGTGACACTTTCTTGTCACAATCTGAAATTGCTATGCACAGGGAGAATTTCTTGTCTCAAGGAAGCATCAGTTCTGCTTTTAAAACCATTCAACTGGTTAAATCAAGCTCTCCCAGATTCTCTAGGATCACTTTCTTTATGTGTAGTCAAGTGATTATGGACTTTAATCACATCCCCAAAATATCTTCACAGCAACACCCAGATTAGTGTTTGATTAAGTAACTGGGACTGTAATCTAGCCTAGGTGACATATCAAAAAATGTCATAGAATGAAACTTAATTTGACAAATTTCACACAAACTGCTGCATTTGTTGCTAAACAATGACAGAGGTATCAGTCAGTTAGCTCTGTTGCATAAATAGCTATGATTGTTTTTCTTAAGGAGAGAGAATGTGAAGATACTCATCATCTTAAAATATATATACATAAACAAATGTAAATATTTAACTTTTTCCATGTTAGAATCTGCTCTATCCACTCTTAAAACATAATAATACTCAGTTTACCTTGAGTTTATTTTTGGTTATTAGTGCTGAGTCAAAAAAAATTAAAATAAAATTCCAAAATACATTCAGGAATCACCTCCCACTTACTGTCAATTGTTCAAATGTTTAGAAATCATCTTCTTTTTCAGTGGACCACAAACCCTCATGTGAAACTTGTTTCTCGCTTTATATGAGGCAATATTTCTTTCTCTATATAACCATGTGAATTCCTTTTCCTTTGGCAGACTTTTACTCAACAGTGAATTTTTAAATCAAGGAAAATTATAATTTTTAACAAAAAATATAGCATAAAGTTCATGGAGTGATGGGGAATATTTTTTATTATTCAATAATGCAGGTTGTTTTGTTGTTGTTCTTTAAGCTTGTCTTGGTTTTTGGTGATTTCAAGTGAAATTGTCCAGGAGTCAAAATGAAAAAAAATTCTCTGTAGCGTAAAATCTTTGGATTTCCTTCAGAATAGAGAATGAGAAAATAGGAAACATTGTTTTTTATTTATTATTTGTGTCTGTGTATATGGTTAGTATAAAGAGACCTCCATTTTGAAAAGTGCCAGAAATATATCCTAGAGTTTGGTTCAAGCAATTTGAATGGACAAGAAGCAAGAATAATGGCTGAAGAAATAGTGGAAGTAAAATGATTTTGTATAAAGCATGTTGACTCTGGAAGTGATATGGAATATCATTTGTGTTGCTTTAAATTATTCTGTTTCCATATCTGCTATGTAAAATTTCTTGCCCAGAAGTTTTTGATAGTTATGACCAATTTGGGGAAATGTTTATTTTTCTACTTTTCTTGTTGGATTATATGGCTGTTATAAAACTGTAGGGTATTTAAAACTATAAAGCCATAAATAATAGCCATGATTTTTACACCATTTTGGGGATGGCTGTCTTATTTTTTATCATTAAATGTTATGAAAAGTATTCTCTCACCAGTGTCTTTTAAGACTGCGGTAGACAGATAATTTTTCTCCTGATAAATTGGATTTAATTACTTTTTGAATCAATATTTAATTTAATAAATGTCTGTAGAATACTCGTTTTACTACACACAATACTTACAACCCTGATATACAGAAGTTCAAAGTCTCTGATTTTCTAAAATTTGTTATATGTTTTGAAGAATATTATATTATATTTCAGAGATCAATTCTTATTTTCATTCATATAGATTTGGTATATTGAATTAGTCTATGAAATAGAATTTATGTGGACTCACCTGTGACAATCAATATTTTTTAAGCATTTTCAAAAGTCCATAGCAATAATATACATTGGTAAGTAATACAGTGTCTATGTGTCAGAAACAAGATAATTAATGTAGCAAAATTATCTAGTGACACATTTATCTTCATTTGCTGGAGGTATGAATCATAAATCATGGTTTATGATGCCTTTCTATTGATTTCAAAGTCTTTCCAAGTAAATAGTTTAAATGACAGCCTCAATATTTTTCTAGACATTTAACCAGAAAACGTTCTTATATTTTTTTCTGTAGGCTAATAAAAAAATTTTAGGGCACATTGTTTCAGTTCAGTGAGAGTGTTTTTGTTTTGTTTTCTTTGTTTAAAATAAATTGGCATAATTGTATGTATTTCCACAATATTTAGTTTATACATTAAGAATTTTTAATTTGGTTTTGCTATTTTGAAAATAACTCCAGATGTTTTCAATCAATTTAAACATCTTTCATTTAAACAAATTTTAATCTAAAGGTTAACAATTAAAATATACAAGAGAGAAAATAAAACATGGACCAAGAGGAACAGAATGTGGGTAACAAACTCTCATTTATGGTCTCTTGACTCCCTTTCCACCCTCGTGTGTGTATGTTTATGGGTATGTAGGTGTGTGTGCATACCTGCAAGCATGAATGCACATGTGGGTTCAAATATGCATGTGTGGGTGTGTGTGCGAATGTGCATATATGTATGTCTTGTTCATGTAGCACCTAGAGCTCTAATTATTAATAGTTCACGTCTGGAACTTGGATCCCGGTTCCACCACTTCCTACTTGTGTGATTTGGGGCAGTTTACCTAACTTCCCTGTGCTTCCCAGTTGTTAAAAGGGAAAAAAAATGGCACTATTCTTAGGAAGTTGTTTGGGGGACTCAGTGGGTCAGAACATACAAAACACTTCGAACATACTTGGCACATGTCACTCTCGTGCTGAGAACCCTGCAAATGGTCTGGAATAGTGCAGGTGTGCTCTCACCTTAGGAATGTGCTCAAGCCAATTCCTCTGCCTGGAATGCTCTTCCCCTGCTAGCCACTTGTCTAAATCTTTCACCTCCTTCAAGTCAACTGCTCAAATGTTGCCTTCTCAGTGATGCTTAACTTCAACCACCAGACTTTTAATACTACAGTCTGCTCATCTGCACTCCCTGTTGTGCTTTGCTGTACTTTTTCTTTTTTTCTGCAGCTCTAATCACCCTCTAATTTATAGTTTACTTATTTATTACATTCATCATCTCCACTTACCCCACTCTAGAGTGTAAGCATTGTGAGGACAGCAATATTTTTCTATTTTGGTTACTGCTATACTTCAGGAAATTAGCACAGAGCCTTATGCAGAGTAGTTCCTCAATAATTATTTTTGAAATGAATTAATATAAGAATTAATGAATCTGTATTATAGCTGCTTCTAATTTTAAGCAGGAACACCTTAGATCTACAATTAAAAGTATAAGTCATTTAAAATTAAAATTGTATGTATTTATAAAATCAGTGTAATAAAGATAACTGAAGATATATTCTTGATTTGGGGTTGGTCACGATATTAAACTACAATTAGTTTCAATATGATTTATAGTGGAATCAGATTACTCAGATACATGGCAATCTTTGCCCCTATTCTAATTGACCCATGTCACATTCTTCTTAGATCTTTTATCTATTTATTATAGATATTAGGTTCTCTTTCGTTCAGTTGTCATTCCTGGTAATTACTGCTGCCAATGTGGCTGCCTCTACGAGTATGCCCCACAGCTCCTTTCCTGGTACCATGGGATAAAAATGCAGGTACCAAGACTGTTAGCATTTTGGATATCATAAAAAATAAACAGGTGACATGAATGAAGTGCTTGGGCTATTTAATGTCACTTACAGCCTAAATCCATTTATGTTTGTAACTCCTTACTTCTCTGTAATGTTCTCCTCAGATGAGCCAAATAAGATAACTTATCTAGTATTTAGAAATGAGGCATCTAATTTGTAGTTAATCAACCATTCTCTGACCTTTTTTTCAGTTTTAATTACAAAGTGGTAAAAAATATTGGTGCCATAACTAATCTGACACACAAGTATTGTCTTGAAGATGTTCAGATTACTAATCAATTTTGTTAATAAATATTATTAATGTAAAAAATTGCCCCCATATTGTCAATATAATTTAATGTTATAAGGGGGAAAACTATATAAAGCCAAATGCTTCTGAATTAATACCAAATGGCCTTGTTTATGTGGTTTTAATTAACGACACAAGGGAAATCTTATTTTTTGATCACGGCTCAGCTTTATCATTTGACTTGAATTGCTCACTTGTAGCAAAGTATCCACTTTAATACAGTATCAGTATTAAAAGAAAGCTGGGACTCAGATTCTAAATTACTTAAATCCTTCACAAATATTTGGTTATATTTGGAGTGATAAGACTTCATTAATCAAGTCATTAATTCCCAAATATTTAATATACTTTATTTATAAATCAGATTTTATGTATGTCAGAGATCTTTGGAT